TTGAAATAGATAATGATTACATTCATTGTAGGAAATTGATACATGTACATAACACACCTCAATTCAAAGAGTATGATTTCATAACATGAATGAAATATGAATCAATAACAGAAGAAATTTTTAAAAACTCACAACTATGTGAAAATTAAACAGTCCTAAACAACCTAAAAGTCAAAGAAGTCAAAAGGAGAACTGGAAAGTATTTGGAGCCGAATGAAAATGAACACACATCATAATCAATGAGATGCTGCTAAAATGGCATGTCTAGGAACATCTACAGGCCTAGACTGGAAAAGAACACAGGTGTCAAATCAATGACCACAGCCTCTATCTCAAGAAAGTAGAATAAGAAGGAATTAAACTTCAAATAACTACACGATGTGAAACAATAAACATCAGAGTGAAAATGATGAGAAAAAAGCAATTGAACCACACGTAGATTCTTTGAGAGGATGAATGAAATGATAAACCTCTAGCCAGCCTGATGAGGGGGAAAATGAGACTCGCGGTGCCCTTAGGGATCCTACAGATAGTAAATGAATAATAAGGGCACACACTCGATGGCTTCTGGACAACTCAGATGAAAGAGGCAAAGTTCTAGGAAGACAAGTTAGTAAAACTTATTTGAGAAAAAGCAGACAAGCTAAAGAATCCAATAGCTACTAAAGACACTGCAACTAAAAACGTCCTACCAAGAAAACTCCAGGTCCAGGTGGCTTGGCTTCTACTACAGAACTGAGGAAGACAGAATCCTCAATTTCTTCTAGGAAACAGCACTGCTCTAATATCAAAACCTGAGGAAGCCATTATAAGAAAACGAGAGACCAGTGTGTATCATAAAAATGGATGCAAATCTTCAAAACAAAACTTTAATCAATCAAATCTAACATGTAAAAAGGATAATTCATAATAAGTAGAGTTTATTCTGGCAATGGAAGAGTCAAACAGGATGTGATATCCACAAGGTATTATAAACAAATCAAGAAAAATCACATTATATTAATTGATAAAGAAAATACATTTGAGAAAATCTAGTGTGCATTTCTAATTTCTTAAGAAAATGCTTTGCAAACTAGACATAGAAGGGAACTTTCTCAACATAATAAATGACATCCACGAAAAACAGGTAACATCATACATAACAGTGAAAATCTGAAAGCTTTCTGAAGATCGGCAACAAGACTAGCATGTTCTCTCTTACCTTTAACATTATACAGAAGTTCTAAGCATAAAAGAGAAAGGGATGTAGAGATCTGAAGATTGGAAAAGAAAACCTGGGATGACTGTACACTGCAGGTGGAAATGTGGAATGGAACGGCCACTTGGCAAAATCATTGATCACTTTCTTAAGAAGTGCTATGTTGCTCAGCACAGTGACACATGCCTACAATGCTGGTACTCTGGCAAGCTCAAGACAGGAAGATTTCAAGGTCAAGTGCAGCCTGGGCTACTTAGCAACTTAGCAAGATCCTGTCTTAATATTTAAAAAGTTAACCAAGGGTGGGGATGCAGCTCAGTGCAAAGGTCCCGAGTTCAATCTCTAGTATAACAACAAAGTACTTACATGTATACCTACCATATGTCTCTGACCTTCACTCCCAGGCATTCAACCAAAAGAGAAGGAAATACATGTCCACACACTTGTGCATAAATGCGCATAGCAGCTTTATTTAAAGTAGCCAAATAGTCTTGCCCATCTTGCAAGATGGCGGGCTAAAAAATTGAGAAGCCAGACACTAAAGAGAAGAAACCCAAAGCCAAGAAGTCTACTGCCAGTGACACTGGTACAAAAGGTAAGGTGAAGGCAAAAAAGTCCAAGAAGGGGCAGTCCCATGGCAGCCGAAATCCTGTCCTGGTTAGAGGACTTGGTACATACTCCTGATCTGCTATGTATTCCAAGAAGGCTTTATACAAGAGAAAGTACACAGCTGCTAAATCAAAAGTTGAGAAGAAAAAGGAGAAAGTTATTGCTACGATCACAAAACCAGTCGGTGGAGACAAGAATGGCAGTACCCAGGTGGTTAAGCTTTGAAAAATGCCTAGATACTCCCCTACTAAAGATGTACCCGAAAGCTCTTGAGCCACAGCAAGAAACCCTTCAGTCAGCATGTGCGGAAACTTCGAGCTAGCATCACTCCCGGCACCATCTTGATCATCCTCACCGGGCGTCACAGAGGCAAGAGAGTGGCCTTCCTGAAGCAGTTGGCCAGTGGCTTGCTACCTGTGACTGGGCCTCTTCGCCTTGTGTTCCTCTACGAAGAACACACCAGAAAGTTGTCATTGCCACGTCTACAAAAATTGATATCAGCAAAGTGAAAATCCCCAAACGCCTCACTGATGCTTACTTCAAGAAGCAGCAACTTCAGAAACCCAGATAACCACCAGGGGGACATCTTCAACACCAAGAAAGAGAAACCAGATTTTAGAGCAGCACAAGGTGGATCAGAAAGCAGTGAACTCATAGATTTTAGCAAAAATCAAAGCTGCTCCTGAGCTCCGGGACTATCTGCGATCCATTTTTGCCCTGACAAATGGAATTTATCTTCATAAATTAGTGCTCGAAATTTGTAAGAACCTAATTAAATAATTGATACATTAAAAAAATAAAGTAGCCAAATAGCAGAAACCCAAACATCCAAAATCAGATGAATAGGTAAACTGTATCTACACGCTGAAATATTCATTGGCAATGAAAATGAATGGTAACCCACGCCACATATGGACAAATTAAAATAATTATTTGATTGGAGGAAGTCAGACCAAAACCACGCTCTATTATTTTATTGGTGTAAAACACTAGAAAATAGAACTAGCTGCTATGGTTTGAAAACATATGACTTCCAAAAGGCTCGCTATTGCAGTTTCAGTTGCTGATGGGCCTCTGGGAAGGGAAGGCTCATGGGGGCTCTGTGGTGTCATCATTTGATGGCATTACTGGGCAGCAACAGAAACCAGTGCGGCTAGCTGACGGATCGGATCGTGGTGCATGACCTCGGGGGCTCTGCTGACACTCACCCCCTCCCACAACACACTCTGACTCCTTTCCTGCTCTCACTGCTTGCTGCCTGCCATGAGGTAAGTAGTTTGCTTTGGCCATGCCCCCCACCCCACAATGAAGTTTCCGCCTTGCCACAGGCCTAAAGGCAATGCAGCCAGCTGACCACAGATGGAAATCACTGAAAGCCTGAACCCCAGTAAAGCCTTCCTCCTTTAAGGAGTTGTTTTCAGGTATCTGGTCACATCAGGGGAAAGCTCACTAGCACACTCTCGTCTGCAGTGCTTGAGGAAGACGAGAATGCACACGACGAGGGGTTTACCCAGGAGCACAAAGGAACTGCTGAGGGGTGATGGATATATTCATTGCCTTAACTGTGCCAGTGGTTTCCCAGGGATAGCCTACGTCAAAGCTTCCTGTTCTGACAATGACAAAATGAAATGATACTCCACAGGGGAGTACTTCACGTTACAATGACCTACTTTAGTACTGTGCCTCCAGGAACATACTTTATTTAAAAGTAGGGGTTAATTTACTTGCCCTTTGCAAGCCACTGGAGGAATTAAAAACATATTTAGACGGCTTACGGATGTGCAGATGTCCTTAACATACAACTGAAAGATATTTCCGATGCCTGCGAGAGGAACAGCCAGGCGGGAGCTTCCCTCTCCCAGAGCAGCATTTTCAGAGTGAAGGGAGAAGCACACAGGAAAGAGCACCAGGCCCACATCTGGTCCACTAAAGCCTTTTCTTCTTACTGAGAAAACTGAGATCCTCGAGGCCAAGCTCTTGTTTGTTTTTCTTTTAGTGGCACCAGGGACTGAACTTGAGACCTTACACTTGCCAGGCAGGCGCTTTTGCTGCTGAGCTATCTCCCTGGCCCAAGTCTAAGCTTTTAGAACACTCCCTGCTAACTCAAAATGGGAGTCTGGAGCACAAAGACTGATTAATCATGTCTATCAGCAGTAATCTCCTCTAAGTGGACTTGGGTCCACTGATACAGATAGAAATAAAGTGACACAGCCCCTCTTCACACTGCACACTGAAATCTTTGTGGCTTATTGTCCACTGGGGAAGCAGGGTCAGGCATATTTTGCTCTGCACTTTATTAAACAGCATGGGGCTGGGCTGGAATACCCAAAGAAGCACCAGCCAGAGACACGAGAGGGGCATCAGGAGAGAAGCAGGGCCCAAAGCCGAGGAAAGAAAGAAGTTGAGAGCCCTGAATGGATAACCAAGAATGGATAAGTCCAGAGCCACAGAGGGGGATATTCAGCAGTAGCTGGAGGCTCTGGTAGCAGGACTCCAATGCTCTTGGTACAAGATGACCATCTTCTGAGACCAAGCACAGAGCTTTGGAAGGGACTCTGGAGAAGGAACTACTCTGCCTAGCAAAGCAGACTGTCCCATCTAGCCCAACTGATGAAATAAGAAGATGGCACCAAGCTGCTCCACCCACCCACTCACCACACCACCTACCGCCTCCTGAAATGCCTGCTAAGCTACCATGGAGGGATCTGGGAGCCCTCATGACACCATCTTTATGACGCAGGATGGCAGCACATGTCCATTGCTTGCAGTAAAATTGTAATTTTTTGAATCCCATAAGCCATTAAAATTTCTTTGCCACGTTCTCAAAACTTATTAAAATATGATGTGGTTCTTCTGCCAATGCATTTTCCTCATAGTGAAGGGCTCCAACAAGGCAGTGAACTGATATTACACTTTGTATCTAGTTGTTCTCAGCTCATGAGGAAAATTTGGGCCTCCGCTGATAATACTCAACTATAATTAATCCAACACTTAACTGCAGCTTAACGAAACCCCTACAATCTTCTATCCCTTAAGGTTATGATAACACTAGAGAAAGGAATTGGCCTAGTCTATCTGCTCCCTACTTAAATTGATCTGCCTGATCTCCGGAGTACACAACACCCATGCTCACTCACAAAATACCATTTCATTTTCAAAATCTCCATAAGCAAAGTGTACATAACAAACTTACCAATGGCCTTAATTGATTCTCCTGGAACAAGTGATGCTTCTTCCATCTGTGCCAGCTTATTTCCATCCCTTAGAGCCTGCCAAAACCAAATGGGAGTCAATCTCTCATTCCATCTGTAGATCTGAGAAGAATTTTGGTGTTCTGTGCTCTCTATAGGGGTAGAGGAGTGTGCAAAATGCAACCTCCCCTTCAAAGACAACTCTCAAAGCTCAGCATCACAGGACATCATGCTGCATGTTCTAGCAGAGGGTTACAACATATTTACATTTCACAGTTAGAAAGCATTAATACAGAAATGGCTTGACATGACAGATACTGTAATCATAACACACACAGCTATTAAACAATGCCTCCAGAGTTTAGAAAGGTCAGATAAAGGTTACCTTCTGAGCATGAAACTAATACAAACAAAAATATCAGAGTTAGGTAATTAGCTAAGTCTAAAAATGACCCAGCCTAGGAGGCCATTTGGGTAATCTCCAAGTTTAATGAAAATACCCTGAGAATAGTCTCAGGACAGTGGCTAGGAATTGCTCTTGGCTCCGGTGCTGCAGCTCACTCACATGTGGGCTCAGACACAGAAAATGTGTGTCCGGGGACAAGGAGAGCAGGCTCGTCACCGTTAGCTGCTCCTGGCCATGAGAGTATGCTCTCATCGGGCAGACAAGAGTAGGCTGAGCACCCCTAGTCTCCAAATCCCCAATCTCAAATGCTCCAAAATAAAAAACTTTTTGAGTACTGACAATATACCACCACGGGAAATTCTACTCCTGACCTCACATGTCAGGTGGAAGTGAAAACACTAAGTGCACTGAATAAAATTTCCCTCACGCTGTGTGCACAAGGTATAGACAAAAAACTTTTTTTTGGGTATTGGGAATCAAACTTAGGACCTAGCACTTGCCAGGAAGCACTGTGCCGCTGAGCTCTATCCCCAGCCCAAATTTCATGCTTAGACTTGGGTCCCATTCAAGAGATTTCAATATGTACATGTAAATATTCCAAAAATTTGAGAAAAAGCCAAAGTCTGAAATATTTGTGGTCCTAAGCAGTTTAGATAAAGGATGCTAACCTCTGCCCTAGTTTCTACTGTGGAAGAGTATGCGCATAAGTGAGCTCTCAGGCAAATTCACTTTTGGACAATTACTCACTACAAAAACAGCTAATGACTTACTAGATTTGCAGGGTACAACGATACTAGGAGAAGGATATCTCGGACAGCTGGAACACTGTGTGCCCACATTTCTAAATGAGCGGACTGTCATTGTAGCCTGATGGCAAGTCTCTTGGAACCTCAGTTGGACAGTGTTAGGTAACTCAGGAAAGGTTTGAAAGTGCTGTGCTTCAGTGCCAAAGCTAGGGACTGAGTCTGCACTGCAGGCCTCTTCCAAGGTCCTGCCACCCTGTGAGATGCTACCAAGGAAACCACTCACTTTCTCTTCGGCATGCCTGACATAATGGGTCTTGAATAAGAATAAGGCGATCCAACCCCCAGAAATGAACAAGCTGTGTAGCATTAATTTCCCAAGAGATGTGAATAGTTTTGTAAGAAAATCGTTTGAGAAATGCTGGATTAAACTAGTAAATTAGGCTGGTGTTTGTTGTTGTTTAAAATGAGCCATCTTTTAATGTGTTAATGTACATGGAACCAGCAAGAGGGCGCTAGAGCATAATGCAAGTCTCATACCTACAGGGATCAGGAACTGCTTTTCCAAGGAATACCTGTCAACACCAGGAAAGCACCAGTGTTCAGGCGAAGATAGGCTGGATGAACTAAGTTTTCAAAAGCATTTTGTAAAGAGAAATATTTGAAAATGGATGTCTTTTATGAGCCAAATCAAAATAATGGAGATTTCCCATAGTTAAAACTGTATTTCATCATGTTTTATTAAAGAGACTTAAGACAATATGGTTCATCTTTCTCCTTACAAAGAGATACATGGTTAACGTAATAGACATTAGGATTTATTATTACCTCTCTACGATTTATTCAACTTGAATTTGTACTACACATTGGTTAACACTTTTTTCAGTCAAAATTTTTAAGGAGTTAACACATTAAAGGGGATATGAAGGGCTATTTGTGGATTCATTTTTATACTCATATCTGATTTGGAAATATAGCTTTTATGCAATGAAGTATAAACCAATATACTTTTTTTTATAATTTTTAAAGGTCTGGTTTTAGAGACACTAAAAGACCACCAATCTTAACATAAGCCTTAATTTGAAAGACTACTTTACTGTCTGATTTAGTGACTACAGCAGAGTTACACAGTAAAAGAGCTACTTTAAGGTCAGAGTTTTAAATTACTTCAAATGTTCCACTGTTAAAGCATATTTTCATCACTCAACATTATATATTACATGGTATATATTATATACAGACCTAAAATCTTTTTTGTTGTTGTTGAAACAGGATCTCACTGTATAGTTAAGGATGTCCTTGAACTCACTGTATAGCCTAGGCTGGCCTCAAACTCATAGTGATCCTCCTGCTTCAGCCTCCTATGGGCTGGGATTATAGGCATGTGCCACCATGCCTGGCTCTAGACCTAAATTCTTTAACTTATATTTAAAAATAAATGAGGAGAGATTATATTTTGAAATACATTTATGGAACCAAGCTGCTCATATCAAATCTTTGAGCTTGGTAAGATTCCTATTGAGCCAGCAAGCCACATGGAAGACTTTAAAGTCCTAAACACAGGACCAGCTAATGACACACTGCAGGTGGAAGCCAGTGCGAACATTTCTAGAACACACAAGGTTCTCAAGATTCAGGCCGGAGACTCTTCCGATAGTCCTATCAAGTGTGGCAGGATACATGTGTGCATTTATATAGGGCATGACTATGTTGGTGAAACACACTGAGACAAAGCCCTCCTTTATGATAAATCTGTGACATGCTTTTGTAAATGATGAAAATGCAACAACCAGAAGAGAAGAAATTACCCCTTGCTTCAGATTTCCCCATAGGAGGAAGGTTCTTGTGGAAAAGGAGCACATTTAGCTTGAGCATAGGGATTTAAGAGAAGAAGAGTCTTTAAAGGCTTGGGAGGAGGATGGATACAGTAGATTCCTTTTATAAAGGTGGTGTTAGGAGACGAAACTCACACTTACATTAAGATTTTACTGCAACTACCAGGTTGCACAGGACATCATTTGACCCTTGATTTATCCAGCACTTTCAAAGCATGGAATAAATTTGATCTCATAGACACACCCTTTCCTCTTGGTGCCTTTGTCCAAAATGTGACCCAACTGAGGATTTCTCTCTGATGATCTCATCTCAAGCTTGTTGGAACCCTGCAGGTCCACCTGAGCTCTGCAGCTCCCTGATTTTGTCCCTGAGAGCTTAAGCATACCCAGGTGACCTTTACTCTCAACCTCAGCCTGAATCTAAGTGTCTCAATGGGCAAAGCAATGGTTTACAAATTGAGTTCTTTCCTGGGATCACCAATGGGGGCAGGACTGGGTGGCAAGGTAAAAGACACAACTGAGCTCCTTCAGCTTGCAACCACATCCCTGGAGCTGCTTGTCTGTTAAGTTCTTTGCCAGCAGTGGGGAAGCACTGAGGCCTTGGAGGGTCCAGAGTTACTGGACTATCGAATAGGAATAATTTTGTGTTCAGATTAATAAATACAAGATATATGAGTTAATTCCACAAATACAAAGCACTGGGTGCTGTGCTGGGTATCTGAATGAGCAAAATCCACACTCTCAGGGTGAACCCCTGACACACGAGCTTATCTCCTGTAGGCCTTTGTAATGGCACTCCAGAGTCCCAGAGTGACAAAGGGTCACCGGCCTGATCTGTAAGTATCAGCGGAAACCTCGGAGCACAGAAAAAACACATTTCCAGTTGACAAAATGTTGGATAAACCAATCTTTGCAAATAATGTCATAATGGAATCTACTAGATTTGGACAGGAGAGCACTAATGTAGTGGTCAAAGCGTCTGGAAAACTTTGCTTATCATCTAGAGATCTAAAATGAAATGGCTTCTAGATACATGATCTGCAGCTATGAACAGATGAACATGTAGAACTTGCCACCTGATCAGCTTCAGCTTCAGAAGGGTAGCCATTGTGTTCCTCCTGTAGCTCCTGGACGGCACCAGGTGCACGGACAGGAAAAGGCAGAGAAGAGAAAGAAATACATGCAAACACACAGGTGAAAGGACAGAATTTCTTTTGGAAAGCGACAGTAGCATGTAAAAGTCAACACATCTTTCACGGCTTTGCAAATCACACTTGCCCCCTTCGAGTTAAGGAAGTAGTATGTAGGCTACTCAGCCCATCCTCAGTGTAAAATGAGTATGTCAGTTTTGCATATGTGTTGGGGCAGAAAACTAAAAGCAAACAAACACAGATTTCAAAGGGCGCACTCTTTTTTAAATCAAGCAACACTATGGCATATAGCAAAAATCCAAAATAACAGGTACATCATCTGCCCATAGAAAATAAAGCATAAGACAAAAACCAGGTAAAGGGCAAAGTCAGGCCAAAATACAAAGGCAGTTTGCAGACACGTACTTCAAACACAGTAAGTATTCATATACTTTGAGGGACTATTCTATTGTCAGGGTCAGTTCCACTGCACACATGCACGTATCACATGCTGGAGATCCTACATGTACACGTATACATATATATGTGATTATTTCTCATCGCTTACTGCTAAGTGCGATGACTCGCAAATCAGTATCATAATAAGTATTTTAATTGCAGTACTGACAACGTGCTTCAAAGAATTACAAGGTCACACATCCTTTCAGTTTTATCAATCCCTTTAAAAATACACTGAGTTTTTTAATTCTTAGTTTTTTACAGAATCAATTATTTCTGGAAACTCTAAAAACTAGACTTTGAGTTCAGTAGGTGATATAAGTATGAACAATGAAGATTTCAAGTTATAACACCTTTCAAAGTTGTATCAAATCTGAGGCTGAAAATATTAAAATTTAGCATATATTTTTACTTCATAAAACTTTGGTTCCAATGACTGTATTTCTTTAAAAGGCAATTGACTGAAGAAGCACAAATTTAAAGGAACTCACTGTTTCCCACTTTTCATTTTTGTCTATACAGTATAATAACTACTTGGCATATTTTTGTATCTTATCATCAGGTTGAATTTCATATAGTCTGTGTAGCTACCTTTCAAGGTGGTGCAATTTTAAATGCAGGTTTTTAAATTCCACTTTTAAATACAATGAAAATGGAACCATTGATTAATTTTTTTTTTTTCGGAACCGAGGATTGAACTCAGGCCCTTGCCCTTGCTGGGGAGGCGCTTATTCCACTGAGCCATCTCCCTGGCCCCTGATTAAAATTTTTTTAAACTGAAAAATGAATATACAAAAGTACAGCATTTCAATGTTTATGCAAATATAAAACCAAACACTGTGAATCAATGAAAGAAAATAATTCCCACAAACAAAAGAAAATATGGTGAAATGAGAGTAAAAGATAAATCAAGTAAAAACATTAGGATTTGACTTAATCTGGCTATTATTGCACTATTACACTAGTTTCAGGAAGATTAAAAATTTTAAAGTCATTAAAGTATACTGTCAAAATCCACATTGCTTTCACCTAATGAAAACAGGTTAATTTTCTATGTCTGATACTAAGAGTTAAATGCATGCACATTACCAATCTTTGTCTTGCTGTATGAATATTCTGAAATAAAGGGAAGGAAACTCATGAGGAAAATATAAGTTACAGTCCACTATCTCAGTATTTCCAAAAATACTAACTGGGGCTGAGTTTGCTATTTTTTTCAAGATCAACACTTCTGCTTTTCATATTAAACATGCAAACATAAACATATCAGAAATCTTAGATAGGGTAGACAACTAAGCACTTTCTTGAGGTTGCTAAATTCTTCCGCATGAATCACAGGGTAAACAATGCTAAAAGAGGCCTCTGCGGGCCCAGATCTACAGCCTCTGCCACGATAGCCACTTGGGCAGGAGTCACATAGTACGAGGAAAATCAGCAGCACACACTGGTAACAAGTTGAGCGTCCTGCACTCATGCACGTTGGCTTTTACTGCACATGAAAACACTGTAACAAATAAAGCATTTCTAGTGAACACTTACAGCTATGACACAGCAGAGCAAATTGATCTGAGTGACTCATATAAATCAGTGGGAAGGTAAAGAACACCAAATAGACTAAGTGTTCCATAAAGCACAGACACACACAAGTAGGAAGTTCCATCTGCTGAAAGCCAGACATCCTTACCCTTATATCAGGCCTCCTGAAAACCTGTTAGTTAAAATACAGAACATCATCATCACGGACATGTTACTATCAACCTGTGAAAGATGCCATTAAGTTCAACAGCTGATTCCCTAAGAAATATCAAAATCCTTTAAATAAAGCCAACAAGCTCAATCTTAACACATTTGTCCTTGAAGTTTCATTCAATATAAAATCAATCCTAACACAATTGTCTTGTGATTTGCAGGGAAGTTTATCATTTGGAGAAATGTATCACACTGAGACTAGGATATAATTATTTTTTATTTCTATTTTTAATGTATTTGGTGCAGGGTCTTACTACACAGTTCAGACTCATAGTGATCCTCCTGTTCTCAGCCTTCCCAACACTGGGATTACAGGCATGTGCCACCACACCAGGTCCCTGTGGCTGGCTCAGCATGCCTGAGGGCAGGGCCAGCATGGTATATGGTACCGGGGATCGAACCCAGGTCACTGTGCTTGCCTAAGCAGGTGCTTAGTCCACTGAGCTATCTCACTCTCCCTACTACATTATTTTAAACACAACCCTTGAAGTATTGCTCATGCAGTTTGGTTTTTGTTCATGAACTCTCTATCTATCCCTATGTCTTTAACATTTCTACCTACATTTTCCTGCAGAAGATTTGCTGTTTCTGTTTTAATATTTAAATCTTTGATCAATTTTGACTGTAGCTTTGCGCATGGGGATAGGTATGGGTCTAGTTTTAGCCTTTGATATGTGGAAAGCCAGTTTTTCCAGCACTATTTATTAAGAGGTTATCTTTCTTCTACTGAGCCTGTTTGACCCATTTATCAGAGATAAGGCAGCTGAGTGTGCTTGCAGTTATGCCTGCATCTTCTAATCTGATCCACTGATCCTCAGATCTGTCTCTATGCCAGTACCATCCTGATTTTATCACATAATTTCATGTCAAACATTGTGATACCTCCTGCCTTTCCTTTGTTTCCCAGGATTGCTTTTGATATTCTGGGTCTTTTCTTGTTCCACATGAATGTGAGGAAAATTTTCTGTAGCTCTGTGAGATATACTACTAGTATTTTAATTGGGATTGCAATGAATTTGTATAGCAATTTTGGGAGTATGGACATTTTCAAAAGGTTGGTTCTTCCTACCTAGGTACATGGAAAATTTTTTCCATTTTCTCAATCATCTTCAATCTCTTTTCTCAGAGTACTATAATTTTTACTCTATAAGTCTCTACATCCTTTGTGAGATTGATTCCTAAGTATTTGTTTTTTGGATGTTATTGTAAAAGGCATGGTTTCCCTAATTTCTCTCTCAGTGTATGGAAATCAAGTGTGGAGATTCCTTCAAAAGCTAGGATTGGAGATCCCATTCCAGCCAGCTATTCCCCTCCTGGGTATTTTTCCAGAGGAACTGGAAACCTCATTCCACAGTGATATATGTGCACCTATGTTTACAGCAGCGCAATTTGTTATAGCTAAATCCTGGAAACGGGCTGGGGAGATAGCTCTGTAGAATAAGCACTTGCTTGGAAAATGCAAGGGCCTGAGTTCAATCCCTGGTTCCACAAAATCAATCAATCAATCAATCAATCAATCCTGACAACAACACAGATGTCCATCAACTGAAGAGTAGATAAGGAAGATATGCCATTTTTACACAAAGGAGTATTATTCAGTTATAAAATAGGATAAATCTGAGTCTTTTGCCAGTAAATGGATGCAACTAGAGAATACACTCTTAAGTGAAATAAATCAGACCTACATATGCAAATATCATATTGCCTCCTTAGTGTGAGAACCTAAAAGAAAAAAATGGAATCTGAAGGGTACAATAGACACAAGTAAAAGGGATTGAATTTATTCAAAAGGAAAGAATTACTGAGTTGATGAGAAGGACAGGAGAGGGAGTGGGGGGAAAGAGATTTACCTATGTATGTAAGCAGGATGGTTTGAACAACTGTACTGTGCATTTCTGTTGGTCTATGGAAAATCTGGTAATATGAATAACTGGTTGGAAGACAACACTATGTATTACAGCAAATACTTTGAAATTCATATTAATTTGTTAAGTGAAAATCTGTATCACTTGTATTTTTTTCTGTTTTAATTCTAATTTACACTCTCTATAAAAAAATAAAAAATTGAAAAAAAAAATAAACACAACCCTTTTGTCAGGTGCTCTTACAAGCCATCCTTAACAGGCTGTTTGAAAAGTTCCTTTATGTTTCTGTTTCCAAAATTCAGTGCCTTTTCCACACAGAAACAATGATATGAAACAGGAGTTATGCTTCCAAACCCACCAACAAAAACAAAGCAAAAACCACAGAAACCCCCACACTGGACCCAGAGCATAGTTCAGCTACAGTGTTAGTGAGCAGTACCATAAAACTGAGGTGATCAAAAAGCTTCACCTGATTTCTATTGAAAGTCTACTTCCAATCATACTTGGGACTCCGGACTTTAACCCCTAGTGGCCACCCCACCGCAAGCAGGGTGCTGCTCCCTGGCCCAGAACCAATGGATGTGGACAGCTCAAGGAAGCGCTGGGCAGGAAGTAGTGGCTGGTCCCTGAGCCAAGGGGAAGACCTGCTTTATTCAACTGTGACACAACTTCAGCAACATTCTCCCTATGTTGTGGCCTGGGAATCCTAAATGAACATGCGGCATTCACATGCGGAAAGCTGTGGTTAGAGGAAACAGCCCACAAATGGATAGAAATTTTGAAAAGCAAACAGTTTTTTAATTGCCTGGGGAGGACTTTAATTGTCTCCATGTCCCACTGCAAAGTCGGCAATCCTGGCATCTAACCTCTGGGTGTTTTATGAAAAACACATCATCAAAAAAGACAATCACCACTGGTTGTTAATTAGCTTTGTGGTTTTACTCAGGAGGAAAGACCATATGAATTAAAAAGACCTCAAAAATATCACTGCTTCATCATCAGAAGAAAACACTCTTTGAAGTCAAAAAGGTATTCTGAAAAAAAAAATCCTTATGGGGGCTTGGCCCTAGCTCAGTTCTTTAAGTGGCTGCTTCCACAAATCTGTCAGCCTCAGGTGGCTGGAGTTCGATCCCCACAACACTCCAGCCAGCCAAACCTGCCCTGAAGGCATTTGGAGAAAAAAAATCCTTATTAAAAAAAAAAGGTATTCTGAATTAAGTGATGATGTATATCAAGAATTAAAGTAGGGGCCGGGTAGATGGGCAGTAGAATAAGCACTTCCCTGGCAAGCATAAGGGTCTGAGTTCAATCCCCAGTTCTGAAAAAAAAAAAACAAAAACAAAAACAAAGACCCTCAGAAGAAGAATTAAAGTGAGCCCCATGTACAAAAACATAAGATTATTTAGATCAACAAGCTTCAATGTGGCTTTTAAAAAATATTTATTTATGTACTTATGTGATACAGGGTCTCCCAACTCAGGTTGGACTCATACTGATCCTATTGTCCCAGCCTCCCCAGCACTGGGATTACAGGCGCGGTTCGGTGCCAGCACAGAGCGCCCGGGATGCTGGAGCCAGCAGGCCATGTGGTACCAGGGATTGAATCCAGGTCCCTGTGCTTGCCAGGCAGGCACTTAGACCGCCAAGCTATCTCTGCAGCCCTCAACCTGGCTTTCTGGAGAGGAGACAGGGTGCACTTCTGCCTTTACTGCGGTGATGGTTTCCTGAGCACGTACATATGTGAAAACACACCAAGTTGTATATTATAAATACATGAAGTTTACCGCTTGTTAACTACACTTCAAGAAAGTAGGTGAAAAGAAAAGGAATACATGTTTATGGCAATAACAACCTCAAAACAGAGAGACGCTCCTCTCCGGGCCTCATTCCCTGGCAACAAGCACACTCAACTAGACCTAGTTTTAATTCTTCGGCTTGCCACCACCACTATACATACCACTCTGACTCTATTTATTGGTCAACTTTAAAGTGCTCACTGACCTCTCACTTTACAAGATGAAAACATCAACTTTCTCACACAACTGCCTCTTCTTCCCAGTCTCTGCTGACTGCTAGTTTAATTTTCAGCCGTGTTTTCTTTCAGCTGCAGCTGCATTATAAACAATGTTCAGGACTTTGCTGTTTCCATAGCTGTTCCTCCAAGCACTTTATCTATATTAACTCATTTCATCCTCAGAATAAGCCTGCCAGATAAAACTATTATGAGTCACATTTTTGAAGGAGAAAGCCAAGGCACATTTAAGTCATCCGGCCAACTTCACGGTGCAGAGCTACCATTTCAACCTTGGTAGTCTGACTCCAGATTTGTGTCCCTCCAGATTTGTGTCCCTAACAACTCTGCCCTTTCGCCTCAGCGGATCACTCCATAATTAACACACGTGACCCTGCTTTGGCCCCTTAAAATACGCATGAGCTCCCTTACTCCCAGTTTGCTGAAGAGACCACCATTACCCCTTCCCTCCATCTCACTCCCTCTCTCTCCAATTGTCCCTCTAGCATGGCTAATTTTTTTTGAGACAGCAACTCACTATGTAGTTCAGGCTGGCCTCAAACTCCTGGCTAATCCTCTTGCCTTAGTCTTCAAGTGCTGGGATTACAGGTGTGTGCCACCACATCCAGCCAGCATGGCACATGACTTTCATGTTTGTTCAACTACAAGGTTCTAATGCTTTGTCTGTAAACTGATAGCAAAAGTCAAAAACTAAAAAGTAGCTTTTGCAATCATTTCTTTGTGGCAACACTGCCTGCTGCAGAACCCAGTGGTGCAACTGAGCTTCACATAAGGACGATGCTACTCTCGTGGGCAGGACAAAACTAACTAGAAGGCTTGGAGGGGGAAGGACAATACAGGCCTTTAAGCTCGTACCTACCTATGAAATACAGCCCTCAGTGCTCCCGGTAGGAGGGCAGTGAGTGGCGCTGCGCTCTGGCTCACTCTGCCTCTCAACTGAACAAAGCCATTTCAGGCCCACACTGAAGTTCACATTCTTCTCTATCTGCTTCTGACAGAAATCAGGGGAGAGTGGTGCTTTTGAGGCAGAAGGCTTGGGGGCTCCCCAGTGTCTGCCTTCTG